TCGGCAGCGTGTATTCAGCGCCGACCACGTGCCAGGCCCTTCTCACACCAGGGGCGGGCACACCACGGCCACAGATCAAATCCGGCCCACTGCCCATTTTTGCAAATAAAGTTTTATTGGCACACGGTCGCGCTCATTCATTTACAGGCTGTCTGTGGCTGATCTCATGCCGCGATGACAGAGTTGAGTAGGGTGGCGGCAGTGTGACATATGTCTTGCATCGCTGAAAACATGTGCTGTTTGGCCCCTTATGGGAAAAGCGGCCGACCCCTGCTCTAGGTGCCAGGGGTATGAATCTAAAGAGAGAAAGGAAAATCCCTGCTCTTGTGGAACTCTCTAGTGGAGGAGGGTGGGCAGTCATCCGAAAACGAGTGAAGACCTTACCTCCGGGTGAGTGTGGGAGCACGTGCAGCGGGACAGGAGGTTAGAGAGTGAGGGGCCTTCTTTCTAGCGGGGGGGTCGGAGGGACGTCTCTGCCGACGGGTCACGCGCAGAGACCCGGAACAGGTGGCCGAGGCAGCCACACAGATCATTCCAGGTGGAGGGCACAGCCTGTGCAGAGGTCCTGGGGCAGCAGCTGCCTGGCCTGGTGGACACACTGGAGAAGAGTGAGCTGGGGGAGGGAGGGAGGGAGGAGAAGAGGGAGGAGAGGGGCCAGGGCACGTTGCACCCGGCCTTCGGGGCCTCAGGGAGGACTTGGGCTTTTACCACTGACCTCACATCAGTTTAAGCCGTTCCTGGGGTTGCTGTGTGGAGTGGGCCAACCCAGGCGGATTCGATTCTGGATGCACTTTGACCTCTGAGTCAGCAGTCTGCCAGTGGATTGGATGTAGGGTCTGAGAGAGAAACCTGAAGGTTTTTGGAGTGTCAGCGTGAGACAGAAAGAGTGTGGGAGGGACAGATTTAGGAGAGAAACGTCCAGTTGGGGTTTGGATGTGTTCACGTCAGTGCCCGGGAGTGGACATGCTGTGTGGGCAGGTCTGCGTGCCTGGAGTCCCAGGGAGCAGAAGGATACCCGCAGCGGGTATGCGGGGGTCCTCACGCAGATGGCATCTCGGCCTCGGGACGGGGTGGGGAAGCAGCGTGGGCTGAGAGCCAGCCAGAGCCCCTCCGGCACCCCACCCCCGGCCACGGCGGACGCTGGGCTGGGTGGTCCTCAGCGGGACGTCGTAGGCTCTCTTGGGGGCTGAGCGGCATCCCTGACCCCTCCCCCCGCCCACTCAGTGCCAGGAGCCCCCCTCGTGACGGCCCCAGACGTCCCCGACGTCGCCCAGTGTCCCCCAGTGTAGAGTCAGCTCCCGCACAGGGAATGGAGGCCTGAGAGCGTGTGGTGTCCGGGGAGCCCCGCCCGAGCGTCAGGAACAGGCGAAGCCTCGAACTGATGGGCCTCGAGTAAGACGGCAACAGAGGAGTGACTGCTGTCTCGGGGACCTGTCACTGCTGTCACTCGGGGTGCAACACAGCACGGGCTGGCTCGGCCGTCCCGAAGGCGGGCTCCCTGTGGCTCACTGCTCTTGAGCTTTCCCGCCGTGTGTCCCTCTGACTTGGCCGCCACCACCTGATGTGAGCTCGGGAGCCTTCGCTTGGAACAGCCTCATTCCTGCCTGTGGTGGTCGCTGGGTGGAGCTCGTGGCAGGTGCCCCTCAGGGACCTCCTGCCTTTGCAGTGGGCACGCCAGCTCTCCCTCCCACCCCGTGCGGCCCGCCTGGTCCCCAGCTCGCGCTTACCATCGCGTGGCTCGTGCCTGCTAGGCGGCCGTTGGGTAGCCGAGAAGGCGAGACCTCGGTCACCTTGGACCAGAAGCCATGAGTTCTTGAAAGTTGCCATCGGGGCGCCTGGGGAAGAGGAGGGAAGGTCAGGAGCCTGGGGCGCCAGCCAGAAGTGGGATGCCGGCTGGGGCAGCGTGTCCAGGCCGTGCGAGGGGCCCTTCGCGGCAGAGGGTCCCGCGAGAGAGGGCCGAGCAGGTGTGGTGGGCGGCCCCTCCACGGAGAAGTGTGGCCTTGAACCCGGAAGGCTGAGAGGACGCGGCAGCCGGGAGGGCGGCGCATGGCCAGCTGTCAGCGGGTGCGCCGGGTCCTTCCCCAAGGGGCGGGGCTCCAACGGCGGCCACGAGAGCTTCCACTCCCCGCCCTGCACCCGCTCCCTGCAGGCCCGACGCCGGACGGGCTCCGGTAAGGATCTGAAGGAGCGAAAAGTCAGCCGTGTGCAGCCTCCGCGAGCGGGGACCGTGGGAGCAGTGTCCCTCCCTCCCAGATCCAGCTGTGACCAATCTCTGGGCCCAGATCTCTGCAGCAGGAGTCGATGTCTGCTGGGCCTCTGTCAGGCAGGCACGGCATGAAACCGCCGTCACTCGTAAACCGTCTTAATAAATTTGTAACACGTGCCTACTAGCATCCGTAGTTATTTACCTGACGGAAATTCAAAAGTGAGATCTACCAAAACAACAAAAACCCCAAAGGTCTGTCATAGGATCTCAGCTGAGCCTTTGCTCAGCCCAAGTGTTCTAATCAAGACCTCGTTCTTCAAAACCTAACACATTCTGAGAGGTCACCGGACGAGAGTCCAGAAGTCGCTGGTTTGGCCCGTGCCGGGTTCTAAAATCGGTGCTTCCGGTAAAAACGCAGAGGTCTGGTTTCCCCCGGGAGGTGCCAGCACCCTGCACTGGCCCCGCACCTTACCGTGTCCCAGGCTCGGCTGGCTCGGCCTCGCCTCCCTCCTCCCTCCTCCCTCCTGGCCCCGGCCGCCTGGGCTCCGGTGGAGTTTGGCCTCAGTGCCTTTGCGTCCCCTTCACGGCTTCCTGGGCCCCTTTCACCTCTTCCTCTCCTTACTTGCAGATGAATTTAAGTGCCCCATCAAGGAGGAGATCGCGCTGACTAGCGGCGAGTGGGAGGTTTTGGCAAGGCACGGCTCCAAGGTACCAGAATCTCTTTGCAAACCCTCCCCGCCCGCCCTGCACGCACGCTTGTATACACACACGTGCACAGACACACGCGTGCGCACGCTTCAGCTGCCCTGCCGACCCCGTGTGCCTGTGGCTTCTCTCTTCCCTCCTGGCTGCGTCCTCCTCCTGCTCTGCTCCGCCCGGCTCCGTCCACGGCTCCCGCGGGCCCAGGGCCGCGGGGCTCCTCTTCCGGCCAGCCGGAGACAGCCCCGGTCCAGGAATCGGGGGCTGCTCTGTGCACCTGTTGCATCCCGTTAGCCTTCCCCCGCTCCATGAGACCACCTCTCCCTGGGAGAGCAGCTTATGGGACACTTGTCCTGCAGCTTCTGGGCATCGTAAGGACGTGGCAGGACTTGCCTCTGACCAAATCTTCACCTGGGTCCAGTTCTACAGAATTCCAAATATTATGGAGAAACCTCTTTTTTTTTTTTTTTTTAGTGTTTGTTTTAGTGTTTTATTTTATTTTTGGGCGAGAGAGAGAGAGAGCGCGTGCGTGAGCACACAGAGGTGGGGGAGGGGCAGAGAGACAGGGAGACGCAGAATCCGAAGCAGGCTCCAGGCTCCGAGCCGTCAGCACAGAGCCCGACGCGGGGCTTGAACTCATGAACCGTGAAATCATGACCTGAGTCAAAGTCGGACGCTTAACTGACTGGGCCACCTAGGTGCCCCAGCTTTTACGTTTTATTTATTTTTAAGTTTTTTATAAGTTTATTTAGTTTGAGAGTGAGAGAGAGCAAGCAAGAGCAGGTTAGGGGCAGGGAGAGAGAGGGAGAGAATCCGAGGCCGGCTCCATGCCATCAGCGCAGAGCCCGACGCGGGGCTCGAACCCACGAACCGCGAGATCATGACCCGAGCCGAAGTCGGATGCTCAACCGACTGAGCCACCCGGGCCTTTCAGTGGAGAGAGCTCTTAATCAGACTTCCTGTGTCCCTTCTTCACACCAGCATAAGTGCCTTCTGGACCAAAAGCAGACGTGAGAGATGTTAGCACACGTGCGTGCCTCACAGGGCTGTCCGTGCAGCCGCAGTGGTTAGTGAGCACTTGAGTGAGCAAGCGAGCAGTGACGTGGATAGGTCCAGGTCCCTTAGACACGGGCGTTGATTAGAGCATGACCTCCCCCGCCCGCGGACCCCTCTAATGACTTGGAAGGACGCCCCTGTGGATTGTTGGAAGGAAGCCGGTGGGGACGCCACGTGGTACGTGCGCGGTCCTGATTCTGTCAGATTTCACACCCCGCTCTGACTTGCGAGGCGAGGTCGGAAGGTCGGGTGCCAGAAGGTTAAAGGCTGCCTCGTTGGCTCTGCTACGGTCGATGCACGCGAAGAGGTGCCTCCTGCCTCTCAGCAGCCGGGAGCGAACACTCAGTTCGTCGTCTGTGAAATGGGACCATCAGAGAGCTCTGGTCTGCTCGCGTTTACAGCAGAGTCTCTGCCCCCAGTGGGGCGTCCCGCGCGCCGTGGGGCATCAGCAGCCTCCCCAGCCCCAGCCGCCCCAGGTGTGACAACCACAGAGGTCCCCGGACATCGCCAGATGTCCCCCAAGGGGACCTGAGCCGGAAGCCCCCAGCACAGCGTCTGGCGGACCCACCAGCCAGGATTCTCCCTTTCCTCTGCTGCTGGGGGCGTTACAGTGTTTGCTCGCCTGGGTTTTTACCCAGAAGTTAAAAAAAAGCAAAAAAAAAAAAAAAAAGGCCGCGGCAACACTTGATGTTATTTTTAACTGAAGTATGGTTGACGACACAGCAGCGTTTAAGACTTACAAAGGGAAGGGAGGGCCTCTCGCGTCCCTTCCGGAGGGTCTGTGCCGCCCGTGCTGTTTGGGGACCTGGGAGGGTCCCGAGCGCCCCCTTCGTGTGCCTCGTCTCACGTGGTGGGTTTTCCAACGACGCCCTGTGTTTCTAGAAAACGTGCATTTGTTTTGAAAGGATGGCGACAGTGGATACGTCGTGTTTGTTGTGCGGACTGAACCGTTCCGAGTGACCCTGCGTTTGCGAATCCCCTCACTTGCCTCACCCCAGACTCCCCGTAACCTCTTCCCCTCGGAGGTGACCGACCACGGTGGAAACCCCGGCAGATCTTTTCTGTTTGCACACGGCTCCACAGGACATCGTTTTAGGGGCTACGCAGGGTGTTTTTTGTTGCTTTTTGTTTGTTTTAGAAAATACGGTTTTACGTGGCCACGGAGCATTGTGCCATAATTTTGAAAGCGATCTGTACTCGGGGATGTTCGAGTCGTTGTCTTTTTTTAGTATTAAGAACACAGCAAAGCCCTCTGGAACAGTTCCCGGGAACATACTTGCGCATCAGAGGACACACTTTTTTAAGGGTTTTGCCTCTGTGTTACCAGGTCGCGGGGTTGTTTCCTGCTTTCCCCGGAGGCCAACCATGTCAACGTCATACTGGAGTCTGATAGGCGTTCACCCAGGAAGCAGGCGGGGGAGGGGGAGAGGGGGAGGGCCCACTTCTTCACCCTGAGCACCTGGGTCCGAAGGGCGGGCTGACCCCTTGGGGGACCAGGCTTGGGGACTGGGGGGCCCTCAGGCAAGGCCAGCCCCTCCCTCAGCCCCTGTCCCAGGCCCTGTGCCCTCTGCTTCTGCGTCTCTGTCTGGGGTTGGCATTCCGACTTCAAGTCCTCCCAGAGGACACCCGGCGAGCTTAGCGAGGTCGCTGTCCGCTCCTGCCCCACCAGGTCCGAGAGGCGCTTCTCTCCTAGAAAGCTCTTCTCCAGCTGGTGGGCTAAAGAAACTGGGGAGAGGGCGAGTCTCCCATCCCCAGAACTCTGGGCCCTCCCTGTGGGGGCAGGGAGAAGAGCCTGGGTCTCTCCGCCGGGCATTGGCCCCCTCCCCCAGCCACTGCGGGAGCAAAGGCCTGGGAAGTTCAGGGTCCGGCCTGGGGCTGCTTCATGAGGAGCCCCTGTGTCCCCACAGATCTGGGTCAACGAGGAGACGAAGCTGGTGTACTTCCAAGGTACGAAGGACACGCCCCTGGAGCACCACCTGTACGTGGTCAGCTATGAGTCGGCGGGCGAGATCGTGCGCCTCACCACACCCGGCTTCTCCCACAGCTGCTCCATGAGCCAGGTGGGCACTCCCCCGACGTGCCTGATGGCACCATTCTTGCCCCCCCGCCTTAGCCTGTGGGAACGTTCTAGAAAGTCAGCCAGGTGGGCACTCCCCCGACATCGTTGATGGCACCATTCTTGCCCCCCTCCTTTAGCCTGTGGGAACGTTCTAGAAAGTCAGCCAGGTGGGCACTCCCCCGACACGCTAGATGGCAGCATTACTGCCCCACCCCCTTAGCCTGTGGGAACGTTCTAGAAAGTCAGGCCGTGAACGTGCACAGGGCTACTTCCAGTCCAGGGCAAGCGTTTGGTATTTGCCGGCTGTAGAGCCAGCGACGTGAGCACGCTCTGGCATCGGAAGGATCTGGGTGTGACCTTGGGTCCATCAGTTACCATGGGGAAGGGGAGCCCTGGCCAGGAGGACTGATTCCTCTTGGCCTCAGTTTGCTTACCTGTGAAATGGGGGTGCCGGTAATAGTGCCCCTCTCGCGGGGGCAAAGGAGTTTGAAGCTTAAACAAGTGAGCACCCAGGGCAAAGATAGCAAATAGGTTGGTGGGTGACGGGGGGCGGGGAAGGACGCTGGTGTCGTGCGGTGCTCAGCGCCCCATCCCGCCTACAGAACTTCGACATGTTCATCAGCCACTACAGCAGCGTGGGCACGCCGCCCTGCGTGCACGTCTATAAGCTGAGCGGCCCCGACGACGACCCTCTGCACAAGCAGCCCCGGTTCTGGGCCAGCATGATGGAGGCGGCCAGTGAGTAGCCCCACATCCCCGGGGACCTTGACCGAGGCCCCTACCCCTGCCAGGAGCCTCGGCTTGCCCATCTGTGAAATGGGACGTGACCCTCTCAAGTAACACCGATGAGAGGGGGCTGTCCCGGCAGCCTCGAGGCCATGAGGGGCCCAGGGCCTTGCCTGCTGGCCCCTCCCCGGAGCCCTGAGCGCTCCTCATTGGGCATTACCGGTGGCCCTGACTGTCCCGTGGGGCCTGCCACCTGGACGGCGTCTCATTTCTGCGCTGCCGTCAAGGACGACACCGCACAGGGCACAGATTCCGCTCACGACCAGCCGCCACACACGGGCAGGCCCTGTGCGGGGCGTCCTCACCCGTGGGCAGCTGTCTCCGAGGGCACCTGCACGCGGCACACGTCCCGAAGGCTTTGTGTGTGGTGGAGCCGGGGGCGGGGGCGCAAGCACGGCCTCGGGGGACACGAGGCATCTTGCCGGTTTGCCCGGGAGCCCGCAGGGTGGCCCCAGAGCCCAATGCTGGCTGTGGAATCCTAGGCAAGGGGGTCAGGCTCCCTCAGATGTGTCCCTTCTCTATGAAATGGCACGATGGCAGGCGGTCCCTAGGAAGAAGGCCTTAATATTCCGTACCTCGCCTGGCACACGGGAATCACTCGCTAAAAAAGACACCCTTGCCTGACCCCAGAGCTGCCGTCTGCTAGATTTCCAGAACATTCTAGGTAATGAGAGTCCCTGGTGTTTGTGGGCTGGAAAGCATCTTGTTACATCGTCACGCTCTGGGACCAGCTCTGTCCGTGACGCGCCCCACATCACCACGGACGTGACAGAGCAGGGACTCTGGTCCCAGTTTCACCGACGGGGACACCCAGGGGAGGATGGGTCCTACCGGGACACACGGCACAGCAGTGGGGACAGCGGTGGGAAGTCAGGTGTCCCGGCCCCGGGCTTGCAGGCGGGTGGACCGAGGCACCATGTCCCGAAACTCCCGATCTTGCCATGTTTGTAGACTGTCTCTCTGAGAAGTCGGCACGCCGTGGCCTGGGAGCCAGGTCTGGCTGCTCCCGGTCACTTAGGTACCACGTTAGGGCCGCAACAGCAAAGCTGTGTAGTTAAGGCACGGAGACAAGAATACTTACCATCTGACCCTTTACACGGAGCAGTTGCCAACCCCCAACCTACCTTACAGTTGACTCGGTTTTCTTTTTAAATTGCCTTCCTCTATCTGCCACCTAAATAAACTTGCGAGATAAGCTTAAAAGATTTTGCCTCACTGTCATGATTGGAAAACCAGTGTTGCTTTGCAAAACCAAAGGTGAAAGTCAGAGAAGCAGACGATTAAAACTGGCTGCTACTCAGATCCCAGGGGTGGCGTTGACACCCCCACAGGAGGTCAGATGAGCGGGTGTCAGGGGGCTGTACCCCGGGCACACTCCCAGGACCAGAGTCCCCTCGGGCCCTCGGATTGTCATTTAAACTGTCAGGAAGCACAGAAGGCGCCCTCTGCAGCTGAGGGCCGGCCAGTGGAGCGTGGGTTTCGGCCAGAGTGCTTCGCGGGCGCCCCCGGCCCGAGGAGCCATAGCCGCTGTGTCTCTGCAGGCTGCCCCCCGGATTACGTGCCCCCCGAAATCTTCCATTTCCACACGCGGTCGGACGTGCGGCTCTACGGCATGATCTACAAGCCACACGCCGTGCAGCCAGGAAAGAAGCACCCCACTGTCCTCTTTGTATATGGAGGCCCCCAGGTGGGTGCCAGCCCTGCTCCCCACACCCCCCCCTTCCTTCGTGCCAGGACCTGGGCACCAGCCAGGCCAAAGAAGGGTTAGTGCATGGAGACCCCGTCCCCAGTGGCTACACGGGATCCTTGGGTCTCTGTACACCCCACCCTCCCATGCAGCCCCCTTCCCCTTCCGCCTGCTGATGTTCCCTTGTCCCTCTGGGAAACCCCGCTAACACCCATGTGTCCTTCTGGCCCACCTGCCCAGCAGTGACCCCCTCTCACCCCTGGTCACCAGCTTGGGGACAGAGGTGGCCCTGGGCCCAGTTCTCCAACAAGGGGACAAGACAGGCGCAGGTGGCCGGGTTGGAATTGGAGTCCATCTAAGACAGCAGTTCTCACCCGGGGGTGTTCCGTCCCCCAGGGGATATTTGGCGACGTCTAGGGACATTTGTAGTCATCACAGCTGGGGGTGGGGGCCTGGGTCAGTCAACACCCTGCGGCCCCTGACATGGCCCCCCCGTGACGGAGACCGATAAGGCTCCAGACATCAGTAGGGCCAAAACGAGGAACTGGATGAAGTCAAGTGACTCAGGGAACACAGCTGTCTGGCACGACAGCTCTCGTCTGTTTTCTTAGAGGTAACTGTGGGGTAGAAAGAGGGCAGACTGTGGCTCAAGAAATCGGGGAGTAATTCCAGGGAAGGCCAGCGGCAGAGAGAGGCCCTGGCTGAGGAGGGAGCCTGAGCGGGGCTTTCCCTTCTGTTTTCCTGAGCACGGGCTTGGGGCAGAGTGGGCCTGTCTGACCCGCTCCCCCGTGGCTAGAACCCCTCCAGGGCCGTCCGCTTCCTTCACAGCAAAGTACAGGAGCCTCGATGAGGCTGTGAGACCCCCCCCCCCCCCCCCCCCCGGCCCAGGGCTGACCCAGCCTCTGGCCCATCCGGCCCTCCCACAGGCCAGTCGCACTGGGTGCCTCTCCGCTTGTCCAAAGCTCCATGGTCCCTCCTCGCCTTCCCCTCACAGGTGCAGCTGGTAAACAACTCCTTCAAAGGCATCAAGTATTTGCGGCTCAACACGCTGGCATCCCTGGGCTATGCCGTGGTCGTGATCGATGGCAGGGGCTCGTGTCAGCGGGGGCTTCGGTTCGAAGGAGCCCTGAAAAACCAAATGGTAACATCTCTTCGCGGTCTCTCCGGGCCTTTCTGCGTGGTGAGGGGAGCCCTGGGGTGTGGGGGCGGCCCCGGAGCCCCTCCCTGAGGGCGGGCCTGAATAAGCAGGGCAGCCTTTTGGAGCCGAGGAGGATGTCCACTTTGGTGCTCTCCTTTGAGCGGCACCGCACGGGAGCCAGGTATGCGCACATCCCGCCTGGTGCCCGAGGCCCAGATGAGCCAGACACATCAGCACAGGCCCCATCGGCAGGACGTCCCAAGGGCTGCACCAGCCGGGGGCTGGTGGCTATAGAAGCGGTACTGATGGTGACGGCGGTAGTGGTGGTGATGAAGACGGAGGGGATGGTGGTGATGACGGGGGTGATGGCGGTGGTGGTGACGATGGGAATGGTGGTGGTGATGACGAGAATGATAATGGTGGTGGCGATGATGGTGCTGTTGATGGCAATGGTGATGGTGGTGATGATGGGAATGGCGGTGGTGAAGACAGGAATGATGGCGGTGGTGGTGATGAGGATAGAGGTGATGGAGAGGATGGGGATGATGGTGGTGGTGATGATGAAGAGAATGGTGGTGGTGACGGGAATGATGGCGGTGGTGGTTATGGGGATGGAGAGAATGGTGGTGATGATGGGAATGATGGCGGTGGTGGTGACGGGGATTGAGAGGATGGTGATGATGATGGGGATGATGGCGGTGGTGATGGGGATGATGGTGGTGGTGATGATGATGGGAATGATGGCAGTGGTGGTGATGGGGATTGAGAGGATGGTGATGATGATGGGGATGATGGCGGTGGTGATGGTGATGGAGATGATGAAGGTGATGTTCACTGAGCCCTTAGCAGGTGGCAGCCTCTGAGTGCAGGACACTCAGCGTCCCGTTTCCTCTTTGTGCCCACTGTGAAATGGGCCCTATCATGCCGACATCCTGTTTTAGGGATTAGGAGACAGAGGCCCAGAGAACGGATGTGACTTTCTCAGAGCCAGCCAGGCAGAGGCAGGACAGGGCTGGCGCCGGGCCCGTCTGGCCGCCACCCCAGAGAGCGGGTTCGAACAGGGTCCGGAGAGAGGGGTAGCTTCCAGAGACCCGTCTCTGGTCCACAAGGGACGGAGGCTGGACGGCAGGGCGCACGCACGTGCGGA